CGTAGTGAGGTACCTCCCCGTCGCAGCACGCACAGCAACCCTCTCACAAGCTTTCTTGTATTTATGCTATCGACAAATCTTGCGCATATATTCGGCACAGAATGCGTTGTGGCACAAACCTTGCGGGCTGGCGGGCGCGAACCTACACCCCACGCCCGCCGAGCTAGCGGAAAGTTTGAGCCTCTACCCTCGTCTTCCTGTGTTGATGCGAACCCTGGCGTATGCGCCTCGGGCCTGCTGCGCCTCGCACACGACCCGCCAACGTGCGCGACTGGACGCGCGGCGCTGAGATCGGCCAGCGAGAAGATCGGCCGGCGAATTCGAAGCTTGCCATAAATATGCCGCGCACGGATCCCCCGCATCGGAGCTGCTTCTGTTCCTGCTTCCCACCACGAGGCGATTGTTTCCTTACTCCTGGGGTACAATATCCTGAACGGCATTCGTCAAGGCCGCGTCAGCATCGGCTACACCTTCCATAGGCTGTCAATCGAGATCTCTCCGTGCCTCGCAGCTGCAGGCCCGCGACCTGCCCCGAGACATATCGGAACTTGCGACAAGGCCACGTGTTCGGCAGCCGATCCTATTCGATGGGCGATGCTTATTCGTCTCGCACTACCCGGCTGTTCTTCTCTCTCCTTCCATGGTCCGGTTCGCATGCTCCAACCTCAGTCGAAGTTGAAGAGGTGACAAGAATCCACCGCCATCAGGCTAAGCTTCTCGTCCTTGTACTTGTCCGGCAGCATTGAAACCGTTCGAGGCGTCTTCATAAATTTTAACCTCGATGCCATCAAACAAGGGGAAGAGGTATCGTTGAATGTGGTGGTGCAATTGCCGTGGAGATATCGACCCGATCCAAGACACTGGTAGATGCGCGCTCTGCGTTCTAATACACGTCTCCGCAGTGCTTGAGTCCAAAGTGTTCTCCGACCTCAAACAAAACCTCATCTGCGGTCTTACGCATGTATCCGCTGGCTTGAGCCTAAAGTGTAAGTTCTGTCTAACCTAATTGCCGTCTAACCCCTGTCTTGCCCGCATAGATGAAGGCGAAGGTGCCCGCATTCACGCATGATGTGCCCATTCATACGGATCTTCCGCGGGCATCTACCAGCAGGCATCTTCAAGTCGCAGCCATGTCCACGAACAGTCTTGTCACGAACAGCGTCTATCTCATCGTCATTCCCCATGACACCGATCCCACCCAGCCGCTGGAAAGCGTGACGCTCGAATACGGCATGTATCTGCATCTGCCTTCTGCCGGTCATTTCACCTGGTTCTGCAATGGCTCCACCATGACCGAGGTATCAACCGACAACGGTAATCGATTTCGCGGCTCTGGAGTGCTCGCCGGAATGGTGCGATTTGTTCGTCTTCGAAGTACCGAACGGATTGCTCAATACCTCGATCTCATCCGTGACCACCGAGAACTTGAAGAATCCTACGATAACCCCGATGAATGGATTTGTATGCTTATGCCCCGCTTACAGGAACCCCCTGAAATCATCGATGGTCATCCTGCCCTACTCCTGGACATCCTCAGCCATGGACAGCATCTGGCCCGCCAGCAGGTGTGGTTGAGACGTCAAGGTTACGCTGTTAGAGCTGTTCCAGTTGAGGACCATGGGTATGTCCATCAGGCCTTTTGAGACAAGGACGCAGGTATGTTACCCGACAGCGTGTTTGTGTCCATCAAGACTGAGAGGGTTCTATAGCCAACTGTCTCGAAGGTGGCCCCACTCGTCCTGGTGAATAGTCAAGCTCCAACTCCCAAGTTATTGTCTGCCCATACCTTCCTTGATATTGTCGCGTAAAAATGCAACGCGAAAACTTTGGCCGATTCCGCCGGGTCGAGACGTATTCGGCAGTCGATCCTATTCGACATGGACGATGCTCATTCGTCGCGCACTATTCCGCTGCTCTTTTCTCTCCTTCCATGATCCCTTCCACGTCGTCAAATCCCGCTCATAGTCGACGAGGTGACAAAAACCCACTGCCATGAGGCAAGCTTCTTGTCTCTTGCCCGGCAGCATTAATGCCATTAGATGGGTTCTAGAAATCGTGAGGACGCAAGTGCATGAGGGGAAAGAGGTCTTGTTGACTGCAGAGCAATTGCCATTGCAGGAGTCGCCGTAGAGATATCGAATCTCTCCAAGGCACTGGGAGACGTGCACTCTGCGGTTTTATACACGTGTCCGCAGTGCTTGAGTCTAAAGTGTCCTCCGACCTCAAACCTCATCTGCGGTCCTAAGCATGTATCCGCCGGCTTGAGCCTAAAGTGTAAGTTCTATCTAACCTTAATGGCCGTCTAACCTCTGTCTTGCACACATATATAAAAGAGACGGTGCCCTCATACATGCACGATGTGCCCCTTCATACCGATCTTACGCAGGTATCTTCCAGCGGGTATCTTCAAGTCGCAGCCATGTCCACGAACAGCTTGGTCACGGACAGCCTTTATCTCGTCGTCATTCCCCATGAAAACGATCCCGCCCAGCCGCTGGAAAACGTGACGCTCGAATACGGGATGTATCTACATCTACCTTCTTCCGGTCTTTTCACCTGGCTCAGGAATGGCACCACTGTGTCGCCACACGCTGACGGATTCCTTTTTCGCGGCTCTGGAGTGCTGGGAATAATGCTGCGAATCGCCAGTCTTCCTCCAGCACAGCACGCTCGATACGTCCATCTCCTTCGTCAGTATCAAGCTGAAGGCCATAAACACTCGACCCCCAAAGAATGGATCACCGGGCTGTTCTTTGCTTTGCAGGAGTATGGGTTCATTAGGGACAGCGAGGAGGTAATCCTGGACATTCTTGTCGATGGGGAGGATCGGGCCCGCAGCGAAGTGTGGTTGAAACGGCATGGTGTACCCATTGGAGCTGTTCCAGTTGTGGACCACGACTATGTCTATCAGGCCTCCTGATGACAGGGAAGCAGGTATGTTGTGCCATGGTGTGTTTGTGTGTATGGGAGACTGAGAGAGTTCTACAGTATAGCAGCTATCTCGAAGGTGGCCCGGTCGCCTCGGCCAATGGTGGAGGCCCAACACCCCAAACACCCAACTTCTGCTCTGCCCATGTAGTCCTTGATTTTTTTACCTTCTGTATACAATCAACGCTATGGCACTATTCAAAGGTCTGCCCCGTACCTCGCAATCCGTAGCCCCCGGCCCCCCGACCCCCGGACTTAGACAGTTCTCCAATGCCAACCCTGTTCGATGTGAGTCGGTGAATGGCACCAGAGATGAGTTTCGGCTGTCATTCTGGCTTAAGTCCACACTGGTTTTGAAATGCCAAACACGCGCGGTGTGGACCACCCACTTGTGGCCCCGTCCAAAAGGAAAAGGAAACAAAAACGAAAAGGTGTAAGGGGAGGGGCACCCAAATCTCAACAGTCCCGCTCCGGAGAAGCTTGAACACCTACCTTTGTTCGATTCCCCCTGGGTGGAGATGTGTTCACCAGTCGATACTATTAGACATGGACGATGCTCATTCGTCGCGCACTACCCCGCTGCTCTTTTCTCACCTTCCATGATCCCTTCCACGTCGTCAAATCCCGCTCATAGTCGACGAGGTGACCAAAGACCACTGCCATGAGGCAAGCTTCTCGTCTCTTGCCCGGCAGCATTGGTGCCAGTAGATGGGGTTCTAGAAGTCGTAAGGACGCAAATAAACGAGGGGAAAGAGGTATTGTTGACTGCAGTGCAACTGCCGTTGCACGAATTGCCGCGGAGCTATTGAATCTCTCCAAGGCACGGGTAGATGTGCGCTCTGCGGTCTTATACACATGTTCGCCACGCTTTAGTCTACAGCATCCTCCGGGCCCTGGCCCCATCTGCGGTCTTAAGCGTGTTTCTGCAGGCTCGAGTCTAAAGTGTAAGTCCTGTTTAACCCCTGTTTAATGGCCGTGTAACCCCTGTCTTGCACACATATATATAGGCGACGGTGCCCGCATACACGCACGATGTGCCCACTCGTACGGATCTCACGCGGGAATCTTCCAGCAGGTATCTTCAAGTCGCATCCATCGCCATGAACAGCCTAGTCACGAACTGCGTTTATCTCGTGGTCATTCCCCATGACGTCGATCCCACCGAGCCCATGGAAAGCGCGACGATCAACTACGAATACGCGCTGTATCTACATCTACGTCCTGCCGGTCATTTCACCTTTTTCCGTAATGGCACCACCATGACCGACATGTCAGTCGGCAACGGCACTTGGTTTCGCGGCGGTGGCTCGCTCGCCGCAATGGTGCGATTCGCCCTGCTTCGAAGTCCCGAACGGGTTGTCTACTACCTCGGTGCCATGCATGACCACGAAGTTTTTGACTTTGACTACGACACCACCGATCTATGGATTTCTATGCTTATGGACCGCTTACTGGGCCCAATCATCGATGAGCATCCTGACGTACTCATGAGCATCCTTGGCCACGGAGAGGAGCTAGCCCGCCATCAGGTGTGGTGGAGACGTCAAGGTAACACCGTTAGAGCTGTCCCAGTTGAGGACCATGCCGTTATCTATGTCTTTTGACGACAGGGACGCAGGTATGTTGGCCAACGGCGTGTTTGTGTGAATCAAGACTGAGAGGGTTCTATAGCAACTGACTCGAAGGTAACCCCACTCGTCCTGGTGGATGGCCAAGCCCCAATTCCCAAGTTCTGCTCTGCCCATATCTTCCTTGAACTTCTGACCTCTAAATGCTATGGGACGCTTTAACAGTCTGCACGGTACTCGTTATGAATTCCTTCAATGTCAAACGTAGCAGTTTGCAGCTACCCTCCCCCCGCCGCCCCAAATCAGACATGAGTGGGGTATGCTGAGAAAACTCTGTAATGCCGGTGAAATGGCACGTGAGAAGATGTTTTTGTTGCTATTCTGGCTTGAATCCACAGGCAAAAGAGTAAACGAGGGGTGCGGTTCATCCTTTTGTGGTGCCGTCCGGATTAGAAAAATGGAACGAAAACGCCCACATCGAAGGGGACCGAAATCTCAAAATTTCTGCTCCGGAGAGGCTTGAACTCTCAACCTCCTGATTCCGTTCTAATTTAACAGTCAGACGCGCTAACCAATTGCGCCACGGAGCACCTAGATGTCCACTGGCATCATTTTTAGCTCTATGTAGGAAATACGTTCTCACATCCGCATTCGGTCAGGAACGTGCGGGTCTGCGCGGCTTCGGTGGCGTGTCCCTTGCCGGCGGACTTTTGCTTCATCCGCGCTGTAAGAACCTGTTCGTTCGAGAACCTCGCTCACCCATCTCTCACTCGTTATCCCTCGTTGTCCTCGTCGTCCACTTTTCCCACCGCAATCTACTTAATAATGGCTGTATGTCTCGCGCCCATTCTCCTCCTATCAGTGTACTGACCACATCACAGCGCTCGTCTCGTGGCTCCCGCCCTAGCGCCCCCCGTGCTGCTCCCCGTGCTGCTCCTTCCTCTCAGCAGCAGCGCGGTGCCCACACCGCGGCCTACCCGCCCGCGCACGCACCTTCCCCCGCGTACGGTGCGCAAGGCCAGGCAGGCCAGCCCAAGCAGCCTGGCATGATGGTGCGTCCCCTCCGTTCCTCCAGCATCCATCATCCGTTGTGACCCACGTTCGTAATCCAGGCCCAGATGGCGGCTACCGCCGGTTCCGTCGCCATCGGCTCGACCATCGGCCATGGCCTGTCGAGCATGCTCTTCGGCGGCAGCTCCGAGGCCGCACCCGTTGAGCAGGCGCAGCCCGTTCCCCAGCAGCAGGCGAACCAGATGGGCAGGTCTTGCGAGATCCCGGCCAAGGGTGCGTGTGGTGTTGATCCTTCGCTCGCGGCAGGTGCTGATGTCTTCCTGCAGAACTCACCCGTTGCCTCGAGGTCGGCGATATCCAGACCTGCACTTGGTATCTGGACCAGCTTAAGGCCTGCCAGGCCGCCGCTGCGCCCTACTAAGCGTGAACGCCAGTATAGGTAGAACTCCATCGCACAACTCGCATCAAAACGCATGTAGCCACCTTTGCAAATCATCTAGTTGTTAACCATCTCACCACTCAGCCATAAACATAAGAACCAAAGTATCATTAACAGGCCCGTAAGAAATGCTTCTAGGAATACAGTAGCGCTCGGTTGGCACAATACAGATTGCAAAGGCGTAAGCGGCATGCACAGCGCATATATCATCAGACCCAGACTTGAACAAGTATCTTTACAAGGTCCATCAATCCCGTCTAAGCGCGCGCTGAATTCGGCCAAAGGGTACATGCCCACGTCATCCTCTCAACGTTCACCTCACCACCAGTCGCTCCTCGGCTGCCGGCCTCCACGAGAACCTCTGATCGGTCGGCGTTCCGCAGTCTTCGAAACACCCACTCGACTACAGGGAGCTCGTCAGTCCCACCCACATCGGAAGTGCATTACGGAACAATTACCTAGGTAATCGCGACACCTCACGGCCCCGTCCGTGCCGTGACGGGTAAGGCGCTGGGTCGCGGTCCGACTCTTGCGAAGCTTCCTCTACTGCCTCATCCTGAGCCTCCTTCGCCGCAACATCGCTCCGCTTGTCCCTGCCGTGGTCATCATCAACGTCATCATCATCATCGGACACCAACCGGTGTTCAATCGGAGCCTTGTTTCTCCTGCTCGTTTCGTAAAGCCTCCTCGCCGGCAATTGGACAGCTGATCGCCACAGCGGACTAATGCCGCTGGCTCGTTTCACTGGCGGGCGTGCCGGACTCGACAAGGTCCGGCCAACGAAGGTAATTTCCACATCTTCCCACACACCCAGTTCGTCCTCAGAACCATCGTCTACCAGGTCAATGATACCGTTGGCCAATCCCCGAGGAATGATAATTGGTTCTACTTCTTTCTTCACGGGTAGTGGCGGAGGAAGCAGAGTGTTCCGCGTTCGCGGCCCATCTCTGATGGTCGGAAACCGCATTTCATCTTGATAACCATTACTGCGGGCACGTTTTGATGGGGGCTCGACCATTGGAGGTGAACCATGTTTTCGCTTTGATCCTGTTAGGGGCACACGAATAGGTACAGCTGGTAATGGCGGCGCCGATATTCGAGGGGAAGAGAGTCCCTCTCGCTTCTTTGGTCGAGGAAGAAGGGTGTTTCGCGTCCTCGGTCCGTGTCTAGTCGGAAATGACATGTCGTCGTGCGGCCCGTTGCTACGGAGACGCATTGTGGTGTGCTCGATCGGAGACGAGCCCCGTCTTCGACTTGACCGTGGAGAAGGCACGAGAGCAAGCGATGGCGATGGCGATGGCAATGGCAATGGCGAGGGTGAACGTCGAGGCGGGGATGCAAGGCGTACTCGCTTCTTCGGGCGAGTCGGTGTTTCGACTGGGGAGGTGGAAGTACGGGGACGCTTCAATATGCGGGGATATACCGGTTTCGCGTTGATGGGAAGGGGTGATGATGCGAGGAATGGATTTGGGGAGTTTGAAACCGGTGCAATGAGGGCTGGTGAGGGGATCGCCTTGGAGGAGGGTCCGGCCGCCACAACAGGACGTGCTACGCGTCTTCGGTGTTCTGGAGGCACTGGTGGCATCAGGATATAGTCGAGAATCATTCTCGTTCGCTTCACTTCCGGCGCGGGTTCGTGGACGGGAAGCGCGTCTCGCTGAGGAGCGGTAGATGGACCTGCATCAACTGGCGCCAACGCCTTGATTGTTTCGATTTCTGATACGTCCGTCACGGGATCTTCTTCCAAGATGACAAGCTCAAGCACTTCCACTTCAGTAGTCGAGTGCTCTTCTCCTGCAGCAGACGAGGCTAACTTTTCAGTTGAAGGTACAGCGACATCTTCAGCGTGAGGTAGAGGGGTTTCTTCATCCGTTCGCAGATGACCCTCATCAAGGCCGGGCAGTGGAGCTTCCTCAAGCACGGGTAGAGAAGCCTGTTCAAGAGGAGGTAGAGTAGCGTCTTCGCTCGCGGCAAGAAGCGTTTCTTCCAGGGCGAGGGAAGGCGCGTCTTGAGCACCAGACAAATCAACTTTTTCAGCGGCTGGCAAACCTGCTTCTTCAGTAATCGTCACAGGCACTTCTTCATCCACAAGCTCGACGATATCCAGCGCGACGGGCGAAGCCTCCTCAACTTCAGACGCTTCACCTTCGTCCACGAAAACAGTTCTCTCCTCGGCAGGAGTCTCTGTTCCCGACTCGTCATCGTCTTCTTCGTCAATGAGAGCCTCGTCATTTGACTCTTCATCGGAGAAGTAAGCAGCCCGCGCGGTAGAAGGAGAGGAAGAAGGCAAGGTCGCGAAGAGTGCTTGGAAGCTACGGTTGGTCGCTTGACTGGAGGGGAGGGGAGATGAGGGAGGAGGTACTGCAAGATGATCTTCAACGGCTGCTTCCGATGTGGGTAGTGGGTCGTCCTCATCAGATAATGGCGTTAAGGGCGAGGATGGAGTCGAGCCTGGAAGAACAGAGACAACTGGGGTCGTGGGTTCTGATACGCCAGGTGCCGCTATTGTCTCAGCGACTATCGGTTTCGAAGCATCAAACGCCGCGGCTGATGCCAGCATGTTGGCCTCGGTCTCGATTAGTGCTAGGGTCAGCGAAAGGTCCTTGTCGGAGACGCCAGCTTTGGCGTCGGATACAGTTTCGAGCTCGAAGGATAAAGATTCCTCTACACGGTCAGGAGGTGACAAGTGTACAAGCGCCACCTCGGCCAGCATTGCCAAGCGCGATGTCTCGGAGTCCTCGCAGGATGACGACGTAGCGGCAGGTTCTCCATACCCACCAGAGGAGTCTGCAGAATATCTCCGTGCCGGGGCCCCGTTGGAGAGATGGAGTGAGGCCGCGCGCGTTCGCCTCGGTGCGGAGGGAGATCGCTGGTCTGGGATGTCTTGAGGGAGTGGGGGAGTGGGTGCGCGTTCTGCACGAGTAGTGGAGGGCTCGGGGGTTGCGGATCGGTCTTCGTTTCGTTTCTGCGACGCCGGGGAAGGGATGTCGAGAGCCAGCACAGTGGGACTCTCGCCTTGTTCGGGAGGCACGACAGGCAGATCATGTACTGCAGCTGAACGTGTGGGAGGTGGCGCGGGCGTCTCGAACCTCTCCTCGATCTCTGTAGCTATCGCGTCCCCGGCACCCTTTCCCTCGTCCTTGCAGGCCGCGCCATCGTCCTCGTCCCGTTCATCTCTGTGGGGGCAATCGTCCTCGTCGGCCGCATGTATGTCGTCGATACGACTACCCCGATGAACCGCACCCCCGGGCTGTCCTTCCTTGGCGCTGCCGCCCAGCTCGGCCTCACACCTTCCTTCGCGCTGGGCGGGTACATCACCGAGCACTGCCACCACATCACTGCCGTTCACTGGGTGACCCTCGCGCTGCAAATCTCCGTGCTTCTGTATGAGATCTTCGTGCTTCCCGAGTTCGGCAGACGTCGATCCAATGAGGTCAATGACAAGCGGGAGAGATTTGTCAATCACGATCGGCGATATTGGTTCCTCCTTGACGGAGGGCGCAGAGGAATTCTGGGGCTCTGTTTCGACGAGTGAGCAAGGCTCGAAGCTAGCGATGCGGGAGCACCAACCGTTGTCGTCACCAGCGTGCGAAGAGGCAGGTTCAGATCGCTCGTCGTCTCCTTTCCTCCGAACGTCCAACACGGTTGAATGACTGGAGCTGGCAGAGGAAAGAGCTTCCATACCATGGTCACCCGCCGAAACGGCTGACAGGGATGCTGCTTGCCGCTGACCAGATAACGATGAGGCAAGCACGGGCACAACAGGAGCGTCGCCAGATGTGTCGGGGTGGGAACTGGCGGCAGCAGGGGTAGTCGCAGGGGTAGGCAAGGTTTGAGCAGAGATTGATCGTTTGTCAATCAAAAGTTGCCGATCGGTGGTCTCGCTCCTCCTCGAAAGCGCGGAGCGAAGCCCCTGAACCTCGTCATCATGGTCCAGGACCGACTTCGGGCTATTCTCCACTGTGGTACTGCTGGCTCCCTCGCTCAGCCCAGCTGTACCCTCCGTTGCCTCGTCCTCGTCATCATCCGGCAAGCAGACCATCTCCTGAAATGCTGCTTTGTAGAACGCCTCCTCTTCTGCAGCAAGCGCCGCAGCCGCGGCACGTTCCCTCCGCCTTGACGCATAGACTTGTTCGTTGA